GTGTTTGCAATAAGAATTAATGTCAATGATAATGATGGTCATAAGGTGAGCAGTAAACTGATTGAAGGCAATCTCGACTTCGTTACGAGTGTGATTTTGCTGCACTCGCGCAGATTATGATTCAATATACGATTCATTTGGAAACACTAAAATTGTGCGTGCGAAGTAAGTCGATGTTTTCGAATGTGGTCGAATTCGTTTTCCGTGAAGTTGAAGTGCAAAGCGATCCAATGAAACGACTCGAAGATGCCTTAACGGTAAGGTTGTTTGCGTTTACTCTTATTGAACGTATCGCTTGATATCGTGATTCAGCAGAAAATGTGGGAATTGTGTGGGAATTAATTCATAAAGTAAATTTTAATGTCTGAATAAAGGTCGTCGCCCTGAAGAAAATTTCGTTTTTGTTTTCAGATAGTCGCCTTATCAGAGAAAGTCAAGCCAGGATTGATCACCAGAAATGAATGTTACCAACAGTTCACTCTTTACGTCATCAAAGAGTTTGATCAAGAGGAAGGGGTATAATGTGTTATCTGTTGAATTAAATTCTGAAGATTTGCTCATCAGTCTTGTTTTAATCATTTCATTGATGTTTCCTTTATTTTTAATAACTTAAGATTTTTGCACTTCAGAAAGCGTTGCTAATAAAATGTCTTTCTCAAATGGAAGAAGCAGAGAGAATGAAAGTGATTCGGAATATTCTTGTTCACGTGACTGTGGCTGTTAACTCACCGGTAACGAATGTAAGTTATCACGAATATTAACAAAATAAATTCATCATCAGTAATATTTTTTGGAAATCGTACGATTTTTGTGTGTTTTTCTCAAGAAATTTGATTGATATTAACGTTTTGATATTGTGTTTATCGTTTTGCTTTGCAGAGAAATAACGAACTTCGTTCGCGAAAAATAGCTGCTGCGATTTGTATATTGGAGCGATTTGCACAAAAGGTCATTTTGATAATTGCTTTATTGATCTCTCAACGAAGTTAATTCAGATGACTTTGTTGTTCAGAGAGTATTCGAATCATTTGATATTTGAAGAAACATAATTCTTTGGAATTTTTATAGCAATGAGAATTCCAATATGTGATCGTCATGCGTTGAATTTGATCACGTTGAAATTGTGAACTCATTAATGGAATGTGATGAATGTGTTCATGCAAAGAGGAATGCTGTGCGATTAATTGTTCTTATTTTGAATGGTATTTTATTGTTGTGAAATGTTGATTGCAGACTGAACGTGATAGGGAATTGCTGATAAAATTACGAGCGATTCGTTGTTTGCATTGCAAATATTCATTGACAGTCAGTTTGGATACGTTTGAAAATGATCGACAAAAAGTGAGACTATTGAAGGAGTATATCGCTGAAAAATGGAACGCGAATGCACCGCAAATGTGGATTGAAGTGAGTATTTCGCTTTTGATTTTGACCAAATCACTGAGTACGAAAGTAACGAACTCTCAGTG